TGAACTATGGAAGAAGTTAAACCCGTTTCTGCAAAATTTCCTCCGTTGCGCGACAAATTCGCTCAAAAAACATGGAAGAAGAGGGTGCCTAAAGCTGAGAGAAGCAACTCTGACGTGAAGGTTCGAGAATTTCGAAGTTGATTATTTCTGTTAGAAAAATAAGAAACGGGGTAAGGATGCACCACTTCAACATAAATTCGATGGACTTCAAAAAATACCAGTCCATCAACTTTATACCAATTGATACAAAAGGAAAAAGACCACTTGCAGCTTGCAAATAACGATTACCTAAAGAATTGATCCCATGATTACAGTAAGCACGGATGAACTGAGAAGGAAAATTGAAAATGTTCCTTAGAAAATTTTTGCATTTCTGCTAGCGTACATTTTACAAAAAAACAAAGATTTTGATCCTGATTTGATCCAAAATGCAATTTAGGTCTTGATAAGTGTGTTTTTGCTCTCAACATGACTGCTTGCGAAAAGAGAAATACTTATTTGAATACGGAAAGATCCACACCGGGAGGGAAAAACGCTCGTGGTATGTAGCATGGAAAATGCAGCATTTGCTAAATTGGAGGCTATAAAATAAATGGTGCATGAACGGATGGTTGATAAGTGGTGCATGATGGTGAAATGGTTGAGTTTCTCTTTTTAGTTTCCATCCTTTCATTAATATGTTTATTGCTTCACTGCTGAGTTCAGCATTTGGATAAAATTACTCTACGAAGCATTGAAGCATATTAACCTTGGAATTTAATTTATAGATAAATTCCAGTTGCACTTCATTTGCTTGGAATGAAGATTGGATTGCCAACTATTAAAAAACGCTATTTTTGTACTCGTTTATAACATCGATAACATAACTGATATTCACTCACTCACGTCCTCTCAAAAATGCTTCGAAATTCAGTCCCCCCCCCCCAAACAAAAGAAAATTTTGCTAGTATGACTATCAAATGAGCTAAGAAAAATCTCAAGAAACTTGTAGTACTGACGGATATAATAATGATGAATGCAAGCGCGGTCACTAAGAAACCGACGCGCAGAGTAAGTGCAATGCATTCATGGAGTAATGAATTCAAATATGGAAATTTACTTTCAAAAAATTAGTGCAGATGGGAAAATAATAAAGCTTTAGTTCTGCATAGTGAAGATCAAAGCAATTTAGTGGGGTCAAAGCAGAAAATATGACGATTAAAAAGTCAATAATTGTTTGAGATTTGTTCATACAAAATCCTGAATAATATCATTTTAATGAAAAAAAAACATTTCAGTGTCTATTTATTCACTTTTCGTTCAAGCAATTTTTATTAGCAGAATAGAGCTACGAACTACGTGTTTACCCTTCAGCAAACCTCGGAAACGAAAAGTGAAAAGTACGTAAACTTTTGGCATCCGTTTTGATTCGAAAGAATGAAAATTACGATTGCAGGACATTTTAGCTCACAGTTTATGACCTTTTTATCCGATGATCTATTGCATGGCACTACGAATTCTTCGTGCTAGTTCAGGCATATCAAAAAACAAAATTTATTTGGCAAAATCGCCGTACATGCCCCAGATTAGCTCAGTCACAAATCAACGAGGGCCGATACGGTTAAGAGGCACCTTACTAGAGTATAAAAGTCCGATTCCAGCTCCCGGGCCGGCCAAACTTCTACCACCCTGGTAATATTAGATCAAACTGTTACCATAATAAATTGAGAAGATGATTACAACTTATGTCAGCTGTCAAGGTCAGATTTCCGGACGAAAAACTCCTTTCACTTTTCCTGCTTCATCGGAAAAGCCATCTGACAGAATTTGAAGAGACCTCTTTTTAAGAGTGTGAAAATTAAAAGAAACAGACCAGTACGTAGAAAGGCAGGCAAAAGTTGAATTTTTTCACTGAATTACTCCAAGTTGAGGTTAGAGAGCACACTTCGCACTATCACACTCTCCTAATAGCATTTGCAAGAATTTGTTTTTTTACGAAATACGAAATGTATTTGCAAAAAATACTTGCGCACGAGAATGACCTTATGTTCAAAATGATTGTAAGACCACAGCCATGGAACGCCTTCGATAAAAAGCATTTATTTGTTTATGAGACATGTAGAAGAGTATCTATCAAGACTGAATTGTGAAAATGGTTTTGAAAACGATTTACAAGACATTTTCTGATTCTCAGACGCACGCAGGAGGCTCAAAAATGCCACTGATTCTTCCTCTTAAGCACATTTTGCACCATCAAAAATCCTTCTTCTGATTAACTTTTTTCCGCACTTGATATTGCTAGAGCCGAAGGCCTACTCTATTTTAGATTTTAGTGCTTTAATGAAATTGCATGAGAAAGGGTTTTCATAAAGACATTGTAAAAATTCCTTAAGTTGTGCATGCTTGAAATACTTATTGTTAGAGCTGTGCCTGCGTACAGAGTACGCTCCCGCTGAACGAAGAATTTGAAACTTCTTTGAAAATAAAGCAGACAAATTCTGGTTTGACTATTTTACGATAATATGGCTGGTGAAAACAGATGTACGTTTGATCCGTCGTCAAGCCAATCCTGAATCCTTATGGCGCCCAAAAAAACACGTACCAGTAATTTTGGTGCACCCCGTATATGATAAATTAGATAGAGATCCGAAATTGGAAAACCAAATGTCGCATGGATACATAGCCTGGAAGGAAAAAAAAGAAAACTATTTAGTTAGCGCACACTGACTAATGCTCATGCTAAGGAAGGTCGACACGAACTGCTTGAGAAGAGATCATTGATTCCGAGATGAATGAAGCAAATTAACGAGAAGAAAAAAACGAGAAAAGAACAGTGACTGAAAAATGTGTGAATATTTAAAGGCTGGAGCATCTATGGAATTGGTCACAGAAGTATTCTTGCAAATCTAAAAAATCTGCAAAACTAGAAATGTCACTCCCGAAGTGACATACAAAATTAGAGAGACTCAAGCAAAACTAAGATGAGCGCACCGATCCCGCATGGTTTTGCATCACGAGTTAAAGTCATTGATCTTCACATAGGTCAATACTCGTAGTTTTGCGAAGACTTTGACAAAGGGAAATACAGATAGACAATGAAGGGTTTTGGTATATTTAAGATTATACTTATTAAGCTTGCACGCGACGTATGACATGGGCGCTGCGGCCAAATACCTCGAATACGAAGCAAGCCTTGATTCTCTAGCCAGCCTGTTCTGTCAAATCAAGGAGAGGTAGAACAAAAAGTTCGTGGGCCCACTTTATTTACAAAGCATTATTTTTCAAGTCTAGTCCGCTTCTTTACGCCACAAAATGATTGCAAAATTGAGACCTTTGGGTTCCCAAGATATTACAAGCAATTCGCGGTTTTCATTGGCACAGAGGAGCAGATCAAAGATGAGCGCGAGCCGAACTGAAAGTGTGAAGAGTGGCTGAAGTAGAATCTATGTCAACGCTGCTGCAAAATGTAAACACGGACAGTGAATGGCTGTCGAAAAACGATGACCAAATAAACATTGGAGCGACCATGCTCGCTGACTCGATCTCGTCACCGTGGAGAGGGTCCGTACAAACTTTTATGACAGTTTGCTTATATTGTAAACATAGGTGGTGCGGAAGCGCCAGTCCGGAAATTCTTTCAGAGGGTCGAGATACATTCTGAATGAAGGGAGGTACCATTAGCCTGTTAAGATTCTTGGACATAGCAGAAAAAGATTGATGACACTAAGGTTCAAAATTCGATCCATCACAAAGTGAAGTGACTACAGATTAATTCTGATAAATATGCTAGAGTGACAGTCACTGACACTCAAAAATTAATTTCACGCTTTTCAAATACTTATTTTATTTAGTATGCACATAACCTACTTTACTTGAGGGCACCGAATTTTGTTCAAAATCTGGATGTGTTCGTTCATGTTTCAAGCGTGGTTGAAAATAGATCAAAAATTAGATCAGAATATTAGGGTGTCCCATAATTTTTTTTACCGCTTTTACCCCAAACATCAGCATTTCTCGAGTACCAGGACACCTACAAAGGGCACAAATACATGATCATACTTCTTTATGTATGAGCAATGTGATCAGTGCCTGGGAGGAGCTCAGAACGGCTCCATTCAATTTTTCCTTTATTTCTAGCCATGGAAAACTACGGAAAGCATAGAGTTGAATGCCCGATGTGTCAGGCATATGTTAGGATAAATGGGGGATTTTTAAAATTTCTTCCCGATTTTTTCCGAAAAGTTTGCTTTTGACTACTATCAGATTTGAGCTCAAAACTTCACGTGGAATACGATTTGGGCAGTCTCTTGGTAGCCGTCTTATAGAGCTTTCTTTGTCCTGTCGAATGATTACTCAAGAAATATCACTTGAAAGAAATATAGTTACAAAATGGCGACGGCTTCAGTAAAACGGTAAATAATTATGGGACAACCCAATATATGCTAGGCTATGATCTAAAGACTGAACACTTGACAATATTTGAGAAATTCCTTTTTTGCTCTGTTTGCACAAAGTAAAAAAACAGCTTCAAATAGAGCATGATACATCTGTCAAAAAAGTGCTGCAAATTTATGATGATAAATTTGTTTGGTTTTCTTTTTTGGGAAGATCCTTTCGTCGCACAAATAACTTTTTCTGTTTCAATAATTTTCTGCTCCAATATTTTTCCATAGTGCAGAAAGAATCTCTCCCGCAAAAAAATCTACAACACCGAGAATTTCATCATTTCCATTGAGAGAGCTTGAGAATCTCCTATACCTGCTTAAAGCATGAAATAAAAGTGCCCAAGAGTGGGAAATTGACTTTCTGAGCATTTATAGTGCAAGGCGTTGGGAAATCGTATGAAAAGTGAAGAGAAAGGTAGGAAGTGGCTTTCAAAATATCCTATTTAAAGCATATATTTTTTCAAAAACATGTTGGAGCAAGTTCATTGATGTGAGCTATGTGGAAACATGCGTGAACTTGGAAATAGGGGTATAAAGGATGCTGTTAATATCTAGATACTGCTTGCTTTTCACAATCACTTTCATGAATTTCACGATCCAAAGACGTCTTTGCGCTGGATTTCGTCTGCCGAGAATATCGCTCAGAAACTATTAAATCGGCCAGGTACATTTTTTGTTATTTTTGAGCTTCAGTGTTGGCGATCTGATGGTGGAGATATCTTTATTCGCAATTCTACACGTGGAGTATATCCATCTTTGGTTAAGAGATCTCTTTAATGGCGCTGTAGTTAACTTGATGTTCAATCGAATCTATGCCAAATTTTGAGAAATGTGAGACTCCTAACTTATTGTTAGTAGCGATGGAAGACACAAAATGTCATAAGATTATCCGAATTGGATGTGTTCTGCTTCTCAACTGTACTTTTATACTCCAACGGTCCACCGTAAACAACTGTAACGAGAACTGCTCATTTCAAACGCTATTTCATGTTAGATCGGTAACTTTGGAAGGAAAAGATCTCTATGCCAAAGAATAAGTGCGGATTTAATTGATTCACCAAGTCTATTAATGGCTTGAGAGCTACATCTATGAGCAAAAATCTTTCCAATTTTTTAGGTAAACCCTACATAAATCGACCATCTACGCAATCATTCTTTTTGAGACCGTTCTCGAGGAAAATATGATTTTTGAATATTTTTTATGCAAAAGCCATTGGTTTGATGATACACATGCCAGTTACAGATCTCTGATCTTGCAAGAAGTGTGGATTTCCGGTTTTGTAGGTTTACAAGTTGCGGAAATTTACTAGGCACACAGTTTACAAAGCTTCCGCTCGTCGGATCGGCTTGTGATTTTGCACAGTGGACCTACAGTGATCGCCAAAAAGTTGCGGACAAACCCCTCTCCCTTTTTCATCGCTCTTTTTCGGAGGGAAAACTAGGATGAAAAAATGTAATAATTGCATGAGGTGATATAGCTCTTCAAGATCTACAATCTACACTTTAAGCTTTTTGAGAAACACGTGTTCTAAAAATTTTAAGAATCCTTTTCTAAAAAAAGTCCGAAAATGGCCGCGTCACAATGTCGCGGACAATAATTCTTCGAACGCAAAAATTTTCCTTTCCTATCTTGAAGCGGAAGCACAGGTTATCCGGATGGGTAAGCATACTACTACACAGAGCTCGTCAAGAACTACACACTGGTTATGGTTGCTTCCTCAAAAAACGCAAGCTTGAGTTTTATTTTGCTTTTTTCAAAAAATGACTTCTAATTTCCTTTATCAAGCCAAATTTCTTCACACGGAAACCTGTTCAAGACATCCCAGCAAAGCCGTCTGGATAAAATAGATGCTCTTTGCCATCCTCTATGCATGGGGCATGTGCTGATGAGTTTCTTTGCTGAAAATGGCCCTTGGCAGTGCCTGCACATGAGCCCACCTGCACCTCACCATTGACTTGTACCGCTTTGCAGGCTTGTAACTCGGCCGCCAGACATTATAAGAGTCTGCGATTAGGCTCATTCGGAAGAACGAAACTTCCTCTATACGATGATATTCAAATGAGTTAAGTTTGAGAATCTTCAGAGATTTGGCGGATGGGGTGAAAAAGTGCAGCCTCAGAGGTGATTGGAGTGAAAGCTCTTATGAACACCAGAACAGTCTTAGAGCCTCGAAATGGATCTATTACAAGAAAATTGACAGTTATGAACTTCCAAGATAAGATTGGTAGCGAAAGGAGTTCTCTTCAACTTTAGCTGAAAAGTGCTTAGACCACAACTGAAGCTGCCCTCTACTACCCCATCCGCCAAATCTCTGAAGATTCTCAAACTTAACTCATCTGCATATCATCGTATAGAGGAAGTCTCGTTCTTTCGAATGAGCCTAATCGCAGACTCTTATAATGTCTGACGGCCGAGTTACAAGCCTGCAAAGCGGTACAAGTCAATGGTGAAGTGCAGGTGGGCTCATGTGCAAGCACGGCCAAGGGCCATTTTCAGCGAAGAAACTCATCAGCACATGCCCCATGCATAGAGTATGGCAAAGAGCATCTATTTTATCCAGACGGCTTTGCTGGGATGTCTTGAACAGGTTTCGGTGTGAAGAAATTTGGCTTGATAAAGGAAATTAGAAGTTATTTTTTGAAAAAAGCAAAATAAAACTCAAGCTTGCGTTTTTTGAGGAAGCAACCATAACCAGTGTGTAGTTCTTAACAAGCTCTGTATAGTAGTATGCTTACCCGTCCGGATAACCTGTGCTTCCGCTTCAAGATAGGACTCAAAGGAAAATTTTTGCGTTTGATGTAGATTGTAGATCTTGAAGAGCTCTATCACCTCATGCAATTATTACATTTTTTCATCCTAGTTTTCCCTCCGAAAAAGAGCGATGAAAAAGGGAGAGGGGTTTGTCCGCAACTTTTTGGCGGTCACTATATATGTTGATGGGGTGCTATGACCAAAACTGTAGCGCAAGACCCTAGCTAGAATCTGCTCTACGAATGTTATAGCAGGCGGACACATAGACAAAAGCACGGAAACACCCTCAGCCCTTCATTGTCACGATATTCCAAATATCAAAGAAAATCTCTTTGGTCGAAGTGGCCTTCAGAGTCCTACATCACTTCAAAGGGCATCAAACGCTATTCCAAATCTGCTTTCCTTTTATGCGGACCAACTCTCTGAAAGAAGTTGCGAGCGTTTGAAAGTCCAAATTTGTTAAGATTCAAGTGGCATAAAATCAGCGAACCTGTAAAAACACCTATGCGAATTTCCACTGGCTGTGTTCCCTCCTTGTAGTCAATATACTTGATAAGAATGAGTAATCACTTTCGGGTATTTTTTCAAGTTTTTTTTACAGGTTTTTGCTGATTTTTTGCTTAAAGCTTAACAGATTTCAAATTCAAACGCTCATAACTTCTTCGAGAGAGGTGCTCCGCAAAAAAGAAAAGCAGATTTGGAATCAGTGTTCAATGCTCTACAAAGTGATGTAGACCTCATTTGGAAAGCCCACTTCAGCTAAAACAGCTCCCCCTCTAACGCTAAGTAAGATCAGGTTATCGATGTGCAGTTCTTTTATTCCCCTGAAAGTGCAAAGGATGACGTCTGGCTCACTAGGTAACCGTTACCTACAATCTACCGATCACACTGCTATCTGCATATAAAATGTCTGTGTGTCGATACGTATGTTCCTAATAGAAATCTTTATTTCGGAACCGATCCGGACCAAACTTTGCACTCATATAGTTGATTCGGTGGCCGCACGGGACTGGACATCATTGCGGAGCACGCGACGCGAGGTAGAAGGCCTGCCCCAGTACAAACTCGCCGTACAAGTCGTGCTCTCGCGACAACGCCGCGTCGCGCATAGTCCATAGCGTCTGAGAATCCGTGCGGCCAACGAATCTACGATACACTTCGGGGCGGGGCGGGTTTCGTAGTCTGTTCTTCTCAGTGATCGATATCGATTTTATCGATTTTTGCAAAGTTTTCCTACAAGACTGAGAGTTGGTCCATGGGGGTAAGTGAGCAGCTAATTACGAAAATATCATTGATACGGCCGGGTTTACCAGCTATGTAATTATATAATGTGATCCAAGCAGAACCTCTTTTTTCGATTCTGCAACGACTTTAGACAAAAATGCAAGCTTGGCGTCGTAGCTACGTGCGATACTATGCATCGTCATTGCAAATTTCGTCTCAATTCATTCCCAGTTTTCCTCTTAACAAACCAAGAAACCTCCGCGCCTTGATGTCTTGTTCACTAATGGCGTAAACCGATGTGAAACCTCTATAAGGACCGAATGGCCCACCAGGGACGATATCTTTTTTTTCGAGCTAAAGCACGTTTTTGAAAGCTTTTTCTCAATCTAACGTTTCGGAAACAGCTCACATCATGGTGAATCAACATTGACATATCTTTCATGCATACATATGTAATCTGAAGAAGTTCAAATTTGAACGGATATTGTAGGCAGCGTCCACCCAAAGAGAGAGATGTGAGCTTCGGACGGGTAGCAGTGGGTCCCTCCATTAGGCAGCTAATACCCAAATCGCGCTCAGAAAGGTTGTTATAAAAGCGAGAAAGTCGCTTCGGAAAAATGGATTCGGCAGGGGTAGCTCCGCCCCATGTTCAATCCGCCCACTCATGAGCTGCCTGCTAGCGCGTTCCGACGTGCGAAAGATGGGGACTATACACTGTCAATGGGACACACCCCGCACTGATGGGTGAAAATCTGTGTGCATGACTGGGTTATGTGTGGCAGATAGGATCACCTTCGGTGACCTATAGCCGTCCAAACCGGAACGCACACTGAGCAAGGTTTCAAAAAGCGAGTTTTCGAGTTTTTCACGTATTTTGCGCCTCTTCCCGAATAGCCATGGAAGTATATGAAAAAAGAAGCCGGAAATGGGCGACCGTGCCTTGAAAGTGTCCGGGGTCCAGACAGTCGATTTTGAAGTTTTGTGCTTGTCTATTCGCGTTCTTCAATGTGGCTTCGAAAATCACACCGGAGAGCGCGAAAAAGGACTCCAGCGCAGGAAGAAAACCAGCAGGTGGGCGGGGCCTTCCACTCGAAGTCACTCTGCCAACTTCACGAGCGATCTTCTCGCTTTCGCTAGCCACCCTAACATCGCCATTGGCCAAGAACGCGTGACTTGAAATCGCAACCGAGAAAATCGCTCCTGAAGCTGGGAGTGATTTCACAGGTGGAAGACCCCGCCCACCTGCTGATTTTTCCTTGTGTTAGAGCCCCTTTTCACGGTTTCGCACTCTCCAGTGTGGATTCTTGAATTTAGCCCGCGAATGGCCCAAGTAAGCACAGAATCTCGAAATCGACTTCTTAAAGGCAGTGTCCGGGCAAAAACTCGATCTTGAGATTTTTTGCTTACCCGGGCCTATTCGCTACGCTGAATCCGAAAATGCACATTGGAGAGCGCGAGAACGGAAAAAACGGCTCTAACACGGGAGGGAATCCAGCAGGTGGGCGGGGTCATCCCCACTGTGAATTCACGCTCCCAGCTTTCAGAGCGATTTTCATTCATGGTTCCGATTTCAAGTCATGCATTCGCACTTGACCGGTAGAGATCTCAGGGCGCTAGAGGAGTTGGGAAGATAACCAAAAGCTGGGACTGCGAAATTCACAGTGGGGAGGACCCCGCCCGATTCCGATTTACCTCCTGCGTTAGAGCCCTTTTTTGCCGTTTTTGCGCTTTCCAATGTGGATTTTCGGGCAACATAGTGAATAGGTCCGGGTAAGCACAAAATCTCAAAATCGACTTTTTGCTCGGACACTGCCTTTGAGCGGACACTACTGCCTTTAAGCGGCACCTGGGCTGTATATTATCGCATCAAAACTTCAGCGCCTTCCGCCTTATAAGATCTCTGGCTGACAAAATATTAGACTCGTGCGCGCAGATGTGCGCGCCTGAACTGAAGCAGGCCCACTCTTTGGATGACTCGTTTCATTCCCTCAGCTGGCTATACTCCCTTACCAAATCCCACTCCTTATCATGTTCGAATTGAGCTTCCTTTTTAAGTTCAAGTTCAAGTCTACTACAAATGCATTTGTTTTGCACTCTGTCGTCTTTTTTGGCAGTTTCACCGTCCACAAGTCTGCAGTTACAGGCATTGTCCGGACAAAAACTCGATTTCGACATATTTACTTGTCTAAGGCTGGGAGCGCGGAAACAGAGCATGCGTTTCCCAAATCCTCACAATCTGAAACAGATGCGTGAAACATTTTCGACCAAGGCTGAGACGCAGGGGCCCTTCCGGCACCCTACCAAAAGCTCCCAAAAAGTCCGAAAAGCCCAAAAGCACCCAAAAAGCCCGAAAGCCCCAGAACGCCCACTTCACGAGCGCGACTTTTAGCGCTGAACACGAGCGCGACTTTTAGCGCTGGAGCATTAGTTTCGGAAATATGTTGGACTACAACAACTAGGTTTGAAGAATAATCAAGTGAGAGGACCGCCTAGCGAACACAACACATGCCCTAGCGCCAAAACTTGCGAGGAGGCGTTCCGACTCTTTCTGGCGCTTTTGGGCTTTTTTAGGCTTTTTAGTGCTTTATCGGGTTTTTTGGGGCACTTTTGTGCTTTTTTCGGCGAAGTATGATGGGTCCCTACGGCTTAACTATGGGCATGCATACTCGCCGCAAAGAAGGAAATTGTGGAGTCCCGCCCTCACACAAGTTTAACTTACTGTGTTTCTTTTATCTGGTAGAATGTTATGGCCTCACTTACCGACGGCGAATCTGTGAGCGTCCAATTTCGTATGATACTGAAATCCCAAAACCTGCGTCCGGACACAGCCTTCAAGAGTCGGATTTATTTATTTTTTATTATTTTTTTGCATATGTATGCGTATGTTCCAAAAGAATTCCATAGCTCTTCTGAAGTGACTAATTTGGGTGCAAAAGGTGAATCAAACATCAGGATGTTATAATAGCAAGCAGCGACTTGGAGGCAGCCTGGCCCGCGTCGCCTTTGCTACGGCGGAGCATAATGGGAAGATTCTTTGGGCACAGACCTATGCGCAGAGGCGTGGCCGTGGCAGCGCAGTGAAAAAAAACTAGTCCGTAGCCCCTCCCACCCCTTCGCTTTGGGGCAGGAGTCGGAACCCGGCAGGCGCCGATGGTGAATAGGTGATAACGCTTAGATAACGACTATTCAAAGAGCATCAGTGCCTCCCCGCTATCTGGAGGGCTGTGAACTTCGAATCGAGTGATTAAGTGCCCTCAGTAAATGTGATAGTATAATAAAGTCGTAATAAGGTCGTTTATATTTGTGTAAAATCGGTAAAATCCCTGACTACGCGCGCTCCCACAAAAGAGCTCAGTAGGTGATTGACCTGTTCGCCATTGTTGTGCGTGTATCGACCAAATGCCCGTTAAGTGCAGGTGGGGCACCCGGGTCCCCGTCGCAGCGTGCGGGTCTCCTCATATCTTCCTATCGATCGCCCCCGACTGGGCTGCCACCCAGGCAGGCGACTGCCCCAGTTGTTGCGCGCTGCGGGCCTCCCGCCCGTCGTCGCCGGTTCTCTCACCGCTCATATCTACTTGCTCTGTCCTTCGAAGTGTCGTTCTCTGTTCCCAGGCTAGAGTTCTCCTTGATTTCATCGAAATTTCCCATAAATGACTGGCTGGAACCACACTGGAAGTTCCCAGACTAGTTCGGAATCGATTGCTTGCAGTGTTTGCCCGCTGGGAGCGGCCCAGCACGATTCCCAGGATTACGTTCTATCCATCGATTCATTATGTGGGAACTCCCTTTGTTGTTTCTTCGCCACATTGCTCTTTACTGGTAGACTGCCTTGTACATTCAACTTCCTATCCCTTATATTCTACTCACTATTCTCTTACTGCATCTGCCGTAAATGTTGCTGACTTGAACTCCCTAAAACAACTCGTATGCACCAGTACTGGCTGGTACGACAAAATTGTAATTTAAGGAAGGCAAGAATTTCCCTCAATTACTCTTGAATCCTACCCGCAAGGCGTTTTATTAGCTCCAAAGCTTCAGGAGGCAGACTCGCTTTCTAGGAGCTTCTAACTATCCTATAGGCCTCCATTTAGGCCCATAACTACAGTATGAAGGGCTAGCAACAAAAGCAGCTGCCGATGTGCTCTCAAAAGTAATTGGGGAAGATACTTGAGTTTAGGTGCATACGGATCCATCCAGAATTTGCCAGAAATTTCAGATTGTTGAAGATGCCATTTACTTTATAATTTAAATTCAATGTGAGAGGGGAAGTGGAAGCTCACATATCTTCTCTAATGTGGGGCTATGAACATTGAATTCCTTCTGGACTTTAGCTGCTGGTAGAATACAGTATTAGTTTGCTACTGTTCATCTTGATCCCGTATTTTTCCAAATGTGACCTACAGTCAGCACCTGTCACTTGGATATCGCAATTTTTTAATTAGGTACAGTTTCTCCTGCTCACTTTCCACCATGACTTCTGTCATTGCTAGAAATTTTACAAAACGCGGTGGCCACGAATTTCTGTATTCGCATTTTTGTGCCTGGACCATGTTTTTGGTCGTACACTCAGAACATTGTTATTCAAAAACTCAGCTCACATTTTTGGATTCTTGAGCTAAATAAGAACTGCACAAAAAACCCCTTCGGTCCTGCCAGTGTACTGTCACTTTTCTCAACTTTTCTGTCTTTTTAAAGTGCCAGCAAGTAGACTCATAATTCTTTACAATTTTTTAAATTTTTTCTGGAATGCATGCTGCATCTTAGCTTTGGCATCTTCGTTTCTTTTCTTCATTGATGGTGCGTTCTTCTCAATTATATTTCAAGTTGTTCAAAGTTTTTTTTTACCCTCTTCTGAGCTTTATATCATGAAAAGAAATTCCATAGCTCTTCTGGAGTAACTAATTTGAGTAGTCGTGAAAAGTGCGTTTTCTTCAAAATTCTCTGCCGTATTTTTCACTATAACATTTTTACATACCAAAATTTTGAAAGAAAAATCGGGCTTAGTGTAATGGACGATCACTTCGAATCTGGCAGACGGCACGACTTCGAAGGCGACGATCATCCACCATTCTTCAGCAACGTCAAGGAAGAGACAGACGAAGCAAATTTCTCAAGCACTGAAGGCGATTTAGAGCTTGATTTGTCGACTAGTGAACGTCCAAATATGGAGAAGAAGTATCGGGTAGCTATCTTGTAGCAGTGAAAAGACGTAGTTATTACAACACTCATTTTCAGCGCGAGTTTCCAGCCGGTCGATTTTTGAAGAAGGAATTGGAGTACATTGCGAAAACCTATTGTGATAATTACAAAACGTTCTATTATTCGACTGTGAACGGCGGAAAAGATAAGGATTGTATAGCTGTGAGTTTTTGCCTTTTTTAACAGTGGATCTTGTAGCGAGAAAGGAAAAAAAAACTGGGGAAAAAGTGAAAAAGGGTAATGTAGTCAAATCACAGCACACATCCTTTTTGAGATTGACTGAAGCTATGGCATTTTAGAATGACAGATTACCCAAACTTGTTAGACTGCTGTGGAGTTGTTTTGACATTTATGTTCAAGTGTAAGTTCTAGGATGAAATTGTGTTTTCAGAGGAAAAAAGAGCTACTCGTGGAAATGGCCGAACATGTGTCAAAACTTGGTGATGAGCCAAGAACCGTGGAGCAAGTAGAGCAGAAAATTCGTGATGAGATGAAGCGAGTGAAGAAATACTTGATAGCTAAGGTAAATCTGATCTGTTTTGATCTACTGGGTTGGGGTCCCACAGAAATCGTATTGGAGCCTGCGATCTTTTCAGAGAAGAGCTAGTGGCGTGCAAATATTGATGCAAAGTGCAGATTTTTCAGAAACATGGTAGGCCGAATGGAAAGCGTGAAATAGTTCTGTCTACACCGCAACAAATGATTGCTGACATGATCGAAAAAACCACCCTAGAACCTTTTCGTCAGAAAATTTGTGGTGAACCACTCAGTGAAGATGTGTTAGAAGCATTTCGATCATGGAAAGAGAATGGAGATGCTTCTAATATGGAAATGCCAATAGCAGGTCTAGTCTTACATTTAGCCCTAGAAAAAAAAAGTTTGAGAGGTATCTGCTTTTAGGTTCGTCTCTGGAAGTGAGTCCACCTAGTGGAAGTCAGCGAGGTGCATCTCCGCTGCCAAGAGGTCAACGTCTGTCTCCTCCTTTGCTTAGGAACCATAAAAGAAAATTGGCCGAGAAAGGAGAGACATCTGCAGATTACATGGATGAGAGGTATTTTCAGTTATCTTGTTGGGAATTTAATATTTAGGGTCATCAATTTTCCTCCCAAAAATGAATTGTTTTCAGTCCGAATTCCAAACGAGATTTCGATTTTGATCATCTCAAAGATCGCCGCCGAGCACTAGAAGAAGATATGAGATACGCCAGAGCCAAGCTAGAAGCAGTGACAGCTGAGCGTGATTTCTGGATGGCAAAGATAGACGTACTGGACCTTGAGAGACAGTTTTGGATGAGCGAACTTGAACGCAGCCTCAGGCACAAGTATCAGTGAGCTCATAAGGACTCAAATTCGAATACTGGCAAGAGCTCCACCCCCACGGATTTTTGATCTATCAACTATGGCATACCTTATGAGGACCGTTAGTTGGCAAAGTGGTGTCTATTGGCAGTATTCGGTACAACATTTTATTCCATAGGTGTGATATTATTGTTGAATGTGAAGGCATTTCGGTTGTAGATTTATTTATTATTGTACTGTAGAATTTTTGGATTATTGTGTTGTGAACTGGATTTTTGTTGTACATCTGTGGTAATGAACGGGTTATAGTACAGTTTTTCAATTGAATTAGGTTGGTGCAAAAGTAACGCGCGTTTTGCCACTTTCCACTTCGACGTGTTATAACTTTCTAAAAATTCTACGTTTTTTAATGCGATAAAAACATTAAAGTCACCAAACCTTTCGCAATACTGCGCACATCTCCCTATACTCATATCACCGACGGGCAGCAAGATATGGACTGTTAAGCAGGAAAAGTTTTTTTTCTGGAACTTCGTCTTTAACTGATTATCACTTTCTTCAAACTGTGTTAATATAGATAGCAAGTGGTCTGTGTTGTAGTCGGAAGCCAGTAGTACAAAAAAGTTAAAAAGGACTAAACGGAGAGGATTCTGCTAAAAGGAAAAAATTAAAATCCAAAATTGCTCGCTTTTTGGACATTTTTTCGCAGGCCTAAAAATTCCAAACTATGAAATTTTTTAAATTATTGCGTAATGAACAGCTACACATTTCTGTAAAAACTGTCAGTGGGAGAGGCCCACCCTTACGCTTACAGAAATGAGCAAAGCTTTGGCGATTGCCCTCTTCAAAGGAAATTTATGGATCACTGAATGATCAAAACGACTGCCCATGTTGAGGTGCTGAAAGCTCAGTCTGGGTTTTTTCCTAGAAAATAGTAAAATGTGCATGATGTAGACAATTTTTATTGAATATGGTAGCTAGAGTTCCAGAAGTTTGCCTTTATTTGGGCTTGGTTTCTGGCCATAAAAGTAAATGCAATGAAATTCTGGTTTCGAGTGCGGTTGTGTGAAGCTCTCTTATTTTTTAACTAATGAAGCTAGAAGCCTGCTTTAACGACCATTGGATAGAGAATGAAAGGAGCTTCTTGAAAGTTTGCTAAGTTTTTTTCCAAAGAAGAAAGTTTGATGAGAAAAGTTGTCCTAAAACAAGGGCTAGAAAAACGCGCATTACTTCTGCACCAACCTAACCTCTAAGCTCGAAATGCTCCATGCTTGCCCATCAAATTTTCTTAAAAGCTGTAGTGATATCGATTTGTTAGCGCCAGATATAATAGAATGATAAAGACGTTGATGCTCACCTTTCAAACTTGTAGTTCCAGCTAAATATTGCTAAAGTGCGATTCATAATTATACGAACACCCAAAATTTTGTAAGTTTTCGGACTTTTTGGGAGAAACTCGAAAAGCCGTTGGTACCACGCGAAAGAGCACAGCCGAAAACGGTATATGATCCATAAGAATGGAATTTGATGTCAATCTTAGAAGTATTTTTGCGCCTAATGCAAATTTTTAGCGGTTCATAATTATACGAACACCTCAAACAAAGGTCCATTTTTCATTCAAGATTGCAATCATTTGAGTCCAAATTTTTTGTGGAGTTACAGTAACAAAGTCTGACATATCTACTACACACTGAACCCAGTGCATTTCAAAAAGAGGACCGTTACTTTCTTCAGAGCGCTCTAAATGCTTTTGGATGCTAATGCTTACATCATTGTACGAGCTACAAACCAAATAAAGGCGTGATTGCAATAGTAAAAACAGTGTTTTTGGTGAAATGACGTCTGCGTGGACGCTCAACGCTGCTGATTTTTTCTAACCAAATATACAGTCGTGGAACTTCTAAATACTATGTGCTTACATCATTGTACGACTTCAGAAGCTGAGTTTTGAGGCTTAAAATCGTGCTAACTCTTTGGTAAGGTTGGAACTTGGTTGAAAAACGGCACGAAAACGCAAAGATTTTCCAAGCATCAAACAAAATTCGAAAGAGCTTATTTTATCTCATAGCTCTGGTAGAAACTAATTAGAGCGCGTAAACGGCAGAAGAAAGGATGTTTTTGGAGCGCAATCACTCCAAAAGCATTTAAAGCCTTTTGAAAAAAGTAACGGTCCTCTTTTTGAACTGCACTGGGTTCAGTGTGTAGCAGATATGTCAGACTTTGTTACTGTAACTCTACAAAAAATTTGGACTCAAATAATTGCAATCTTGAATGATAAACGGACCTTTGTTTGAGGTGTTCGTATAATTATGAACCGCTAAAAATTTGCATTAAGCGCAAAAACACTTTTAAGATTGACATTCATTTCCACTCTTACGGATCATATACTGTTTTCGGCTGTGCTCTTTCGCGTGTACCAACGGCTTTTTAAGTTTCTGTCAAAAACTCCAGGGACTTCCAAAATTTGGGGTGTTCGTATAATTATGAACCGCACTTTATAAGTATATCTTGTCACTGAAGAGCAAAGGTTATTCTAGTCTTATATGCGAAGCTGTACTAGTTAGTAGACGAACCGTCCAGTGACAGATACTTGGGACAGGTGTGATTGGGTCTCTTGTGTTTATCTTTATCGCGTAGCAGTCACTTCAGCAATTTGACGAACGTGTAGGATCCAATGCACAAATGCTTCTGAAAGTCAGACAACATTCAGCAGGGCCGTTAAGGTTAGTAACTTCCAGTCCTAATTCATGTTATGTGTCCAAATCGTGCGCTAGTCCTTGTGTGTAGCACTTTCCCAATTTGAAAATTGGGATCAATCCATTGCTGGCCTTGTCAAGCATCCCAAATGCAGCAATCAAATCAACCACTGGTGAAATAGTATCGTATCTGAAAAGTATTTGCACATGCGAATTGGCTCTTGTACGTGGAAATGGCATTGCTCATTGGGCTTACAGTAACATTACCATAAAAGAAGGGAAGTTCTTGCAACAGTACAACTCTAAAAAGCTATGTTCCTTTGAACACACATAGCTCGAGTATAAGGGCGATTTTGAAGAATAAAAGCTTGGAGGTTTACAAAACCTGGAACTCGAGACAGCGATACAGCTGGAGGTTCTGTTACCAGACAGATCTAACAACAAAAATGAATTAAGTGACCAAGTGCAACATCAAGCTGAATTTCTTTCGCTCGATGCATAGCACATTCACTCATTCCCATAAATCACGTTGAAAGCCAAAACAAGTTAAGTCAACCAAAAGACACTACAGAGGCATTTTAAGCTGCGTGGCGGTCCGAGAAATATGTTTTGTGGAGAGCAATGACTAAATCTCCTTTCTAAACTAAAAAGCCACGCTTTCCGAAGGAAGATGTTCACATTTTTCGCAACCCTTCAGTATAGAAATTATGGTAATGGGGTGCCTACTGTCACGGTCCAAGTCTTTTGATGAAGTTTTTTAGTTTTTAGAAATCGTAAAAAAAATTTAGTTATTCATAAGTTAAAACAAGTCATTTGCGAAATTGCCCCCTTACTCATGTCGCATAAATCAGCTAGTCAAAGCTTGGCAGTAGAGCAGTGACATTAAGCTGCTTGTCCTTATCATTGTTGCACCACATCTAAGTTGTTTGTAATGCATGACATAACTAACACCTAAAATGACGATGTACGATTTGTAGGGTAAGGCCAAATTCTTGGATCATATTTTGCTAGTGTTTTTACATCCGATTTTGGGAACCATGTTGCAGTTCCAAGACTCAATTTTGCCCTGTCGCCGCCAAAGGTTCTCTGCTCAATTTTTTCGAGCCTTCTGTATAACGTTTTCTGACCAAATCGTTTCATTAACAACAGAGACTTACGATGGGATTCTCAAAATGATATGTAGTAAAAGTGCGACTTCTCTGACTGCCTCGTTGGCGCATATATTAACACTTCTATGTTGTTAAGAGTAGCGGGGTTGAGTAAGCATGCACTTGTGAAGCGATCCCGTAAGTTCGGAGGCCAAGCTCATAATTGATTTTTACCTTATAAATCTTTTGCCGGCACCTGCCAAGATCATGGAAAGAGAGAGATAAGCTCATGGGTAGCAAGTCCAATCTAATCCCTGCAGCTTGGTTGTGTCAGTGGAGCCTCAACAACTAATCTTGTTGATTGCTGCTTAGACTGGAATCTTGCTCTTAGTCGAAAGAAATCCTTGGATGTGTTTTATATTGACCTTTCAGAAGCATTCGAAAAAGTCTTCCATGCGAAACTAATTATTGAATTAGAAGCGATTTGAATGGGTGGATCACTTCTTGTTCTGGTTCTCTTACTATTTGCAAAACCGTCATATGACAGTTAAAGTTCATTACAACCTTTCGAATGTATACCGATGTGATAGCGGAATGCCTTAAAGAGGCCTTATTATCACTCACATTGTTTCTCATATACACATTAGATCTTCCATTGTTGCTCAAAACCTCCCAGGATATAGAGGTACGGGGGTTATTGTTGAAAGCTAAGGTTTTCTGATCATGTTGATGCTGCTGTTTGGAGAGCTTATTTGTCCCTGTTTGTGCTGCTCCGTACTGTCAAAAGAAAATCACCTGTTATTTTGGCGCGTTTGTACAGAGCAATTTTTCTTCCTCAAACGTGAAAAAGAAATTGCTAAGCTTGAACAGGTGCAAAAACTTTCACTCGTCTTTTGTGTGTTCGCCTCTCCCCTAATAGTAGATCTTCGAATTACGGTGCTTGATTGAAAAGAGTTTAGTTCACAAAGCCTATTTGCCGTTGGTCAGAAATCGAAGTGGCCAATCCAAACAAGCTGCATACCATCAAGTGCAACATGAAACGCCGAGTTCGAATTTGTATTCTGTATCTGCTTAGCGCCTATTGAGCAAAGTTATAAGCCGTTAAGGGCTGCTATCTTGCTAAGAAATCGTGCATGCAAAGCGCAAATTTGGCAGTACAGAGCCATGTTCAGCTTATTTCTGAGCCAAAACATGCAGATTACTTCATATGCTCAAAGCCTAAAGGTGAGCTGTGAGTGCAACAATGTGCTTAGTTTCGCTATTTTTATATGCGATTTCTTTGCAATGTCCATAACTTCGTCCACAAAGGCGCTAAGTATGGAATGGAGATTCGAAATCAGTGTTGATTGGTAGGCGGTTGCTTGGGATTAGTCCCTTTAACTTCTGAACATTCCCTTTTTAGGAAAAAAGAGATTGATAGCTAGCAAGTACTGGATATTCGTACGAGCTAGTGAGAGATTAGGCTTCAATTGCGTTACGCTAGAACTATTAATTGCAAATCGTCTAGGGTGC